GTTATTGAGTTATGGTTATGGGTCTGGGACTCACCTGTGGGTGTGGTTGAACTTCTGCACCAGCCGGCCTCCGTCGGCCAGCCGGATCTGGATGTTGGTGGTGGGCTGGGCGGGGTCCAGGCCCACGGAGGCGCTGGCCTGGGCCTCGTTGGTGGCCTGGTCCTGCTGGGAGGGGGCCGGGGCCGCGGTCAGCTCCGGAGTGGCACTGGAGGGGGGGCAAAAAACAACATAAAACAAAACAGAAATAAGTATTTGACCCCTTGCTGATTTTGCAGGTTTGCCCACTTACAAAGAATGCAACGATCTATAACTTTAATCATATGTACATTCTAACAGTGAAAGACAGAATCCCAAAGAAGATTCCAGAAAATCACATCATATGAATTTATAAGAATTGATAACCATCTGATGAGGAAAAATAAGCATTCTTTGTAAGTGGGCAAACCTGCAAAATCTGTTTCCACTGTAACTCCACCTCAAAGACCAATTATGAACCAGACACTGAGCTTAAAGGAGCTAACACACAGAGTCAGCCCATAGCAAACTGGGCCCAAACTGGGGGGACTGGTTTTCCTTTTATCGAACAGACAGGTTATGATTCCACAGCAGCTTTAAAATCAGTGGAAAGTAGGGTTGTCAAAAGTATCTATACTCAAAAAAGTATCTCGATACTAAAACGAAAACAACATACTGTGGGGGAAATAAATATTTGACCCCTTGCTGATTTAGCAGGTTTGCCCAATTACAAAGAATGCTTATTTTTCCTCATCAGATGGTTATCAATTTTTATAAATTCATATGATGTGATTTTCTGGAAGTTTCTTTGGGATTCTGTCTTTCACTGTTAGAATGTACATATGATTAAAGTTATAGATCTTTGAAAAAAAAAAAAAAAATTGTGGATGTTAAATAGGTTTGTACAATAAGTCCAAACAAGTTGAACCAAAAAATATTTATTTATCACAATTATGAAGGGTAGAGGGTCAGGGTCAGGGTTAGGGTTAGGGTTAGGGTTAGGGTCATTAATGTGGGCCACCATAACATCGGTAACAGGTCAGTTTGAAACCAAAGACACTAACCTGTCAAAATTCTGTTAAGTTTTGGGGTCTTTGTTTTTATCCTTATGGTATCGAAGATGGTATAGAGCAGTGGTTCTCAAACTTTTTTCAGTGATGTACCCCCTTAAAAATATATTTTTAGTCAAGTACCCCCTGACACAGGCAAAACATTTTTGGAAGAAAAAAGAGGTACAGTGCTGTAAAATCACTGTCTTATTTATTAAAGCCAAACGTAACCATGGTAACGACAGGTCGTGGACAAGTGCGCTGGGTCCGTGGGTCAAACTAACTTGGTGGGGGGTCCGTTTTATTTTAAAGGATATTGAAACTAAATACTGAATATAAAATGCAGTGCATGAACACACATTTATATTCTATCGAACTTTTTACAGAATAATTTCTCCCAAGACTTATTATGAGGAGCCTACTGATTTTTAAAATATATTTTGAAAAGCTTCACGTACCCCCTGCAGTACCTCCACGTACCCCCAGGGGTACGCGTACCCCCATTTGAGAATCACTGGTACAGAGTATCGAATATTTTCCTGAGTATCGGCATCGAGCTAAACATCTTAGTATCGTCACAAATCTCTTGGAAAACCCAAACTGAGTCGCTCACCTTCCTAGTTTCTGTCCTTCTCCTCCAAACGCCTTGAAGGCCAGCTTGGGTTTGCTGAAGTCCTCGTCCCGGTGGTCCTCCATGTCCAGGTTGACCTGGCCCCCCCGGGACCGCTGCCTCAGCTCCAGAGGGATCTCCCTGGGGGGGGGGGGGCAGGAAAAGGGTTAGAAAAGGGTTAAAAGGGTTTAGAGTAACGCCTGGGAATCAGCCTCTGGGAGCCCCTCCAGACATTAGGGATGGGACGGTTTCTGAAAACCGTCTGAACCGTTGGGTTCTGTCTCGGTTCGGTTCGCGTGTGTTGTGTTCGGTTCCTGCTGCTTCTTTTTCTCAGAGGGAAGCGTTTACACTCCAGAGCAGAAGGGGGCGCTACTGCGCCCAAAGCCAACCACCAGTAGGAAACAAGAAGAAGAAGAAGCAGCGTAGCCGATAAAAATCAGCAAGCCAACAGCAGTTTATATTCTGCTGTATGGACCACTTTGCATTTAGAGGGAAGCACATGTTGGAATTAGCACTGTTTCCTCTCTTGCAAAGCCAGAATCTCACCTACTTTTAACCTAAGACTGTCACAATAACGTATCAAATGTCATATTAGCTTTTTTCTTTCAGTTTTAACATGACTATACAAGACATAATATATTTTCCTAACAATCAACATACAGTAATCCCTCGTTTATCGTGGGGGTTACGTTCCGAAAATGACCCGCGATAAGTGAAATCCGCGAAATAGAAAACTTTTTTTTTTTTTTTTTTACAATTAGCAACTATTACATGTATACAAATACAGTGACTCACGTGTAGTGTCGGTCCAGGCCGTTTCGTCGACATTATGGGTTTAGGAGATGTTTGAAATTACAAGATAATTTGGCCAACTTAATGTAAATTTGCTAAGCTGTGTTATGTACGTACACATAACTGCACGAGACGACAAAATGATAGCACAATTCGTAGCATGTTTTGATACAAGCAGCGGGAGTGAGTTTTTAGCGAATCAGAATGCAGAGCACAATGCACCAAAAAAAAAAAAAAAATGCATTATGATAATCCGCGAAATAGCGAATCCGCGATAAGTGAACCGCGAAGTGACGAGGGATCACTGTATACCGAACCGAACTGAAAACCGTGACCATGAAACCGTGAATCGAACCGAACCGTGGATTTTGTGAACCGTCCCACCCCTACCAGACGCCTCTCACCCTCTCCTGATGGCCTCCAGGAAGTTGGCGTTTCCCGGATCGCTGTAGTTTCTGAGCTCGCCGTTGTCCAGACTGAAGCCCGTCTTCCACAGCTTTAGCACCACGTGGACCTGAACACAGACACACGCAGAGTTATTAGAGATTAGATTCGCTGGCTTCTAAATTCGTGGGAATCTGGTGTTAGCCAGCTAGCTAACAGCTCTGAAAAGTTGTTATCTCTGACCAAAAGCAGCCCGATTGGTTCTGTTCTGTCTGTGGGCTCGAGCTTATCTTAAGGCATTTCCAGCTAACGGCAGTTCCAACAGAGAAGTTTTCCCCTTTCATTTCCACAATAGCTGTGTTTAAACTCATAAAAAAGACCTTCCTCTTGGCAGGGTTCGAAATTCGTGAGAATCTGGTGTTAGCCAGCTAGCTAACAGCTCTGAAAAGTTGTTAGCTAGCTGACCAAAAGCAGCCCGATTGGTTCTGTTCTGTCTGTGGGCTCAAGCTTATCTTAAGGCATTTCCAGCTAACAGCAGTTCCAACAGAGGATTTTTCCCCTTTCATTTCCTCTCAGTGTCCACAATAGCTGTGTTTAAACTCATAAAAAAGAGCTTCTTCTTGGCAGGGGTCAATATTCGTGGGAATCTGGTGTTAGCCAGCTAGCTAACAGCTCTGAAAAGATGTTAGCTTTGACCAAAAGCAACCCGATTGGTTCTGTTCTGTCTGTGGGCTCCAGCAGACTAAATCTGAATATTTATTCTTAGCTTCACGTCATATTCAGAAACCAACACACAGAAAATGTTCTGTCAGCAGATCTCCTGGAACGCTGTGGTCGCTGTGCTGTAATATAATATTATTATAATAATATTATAATATTATTAAAAACGTTTTCAGGTCCTAACGCAACCACGTCATGCCTCCAACGATTTCATAGAAATGATGATAAACTGCAGGATAACATGGAGGACGATGGATTTCAAACTAAAATGTTGTATATATTTTTTGTTGATTCCATGTTTATTTTGCATGTATTTGATATATAAACTTAATTTGTCAACCCGTCCTGCCACACGGAGCTGTGCGCACGACGGGCCGACTGCTTTCGATTTTTTCACCCCGGACAGTAAAGCGTGAACGTCGGTCAATGGGTCATTTCTAACTCTGGTATTTACTAGCTTTCGTTCACCATCAATGAGTGAATGAGCTCAGATCGTTCAGACCTGAATAAGCAAAGTGGCCTCATAGGATCGGGAGCCCAACAGCTCATCATCCATCATGTGACTGAACACCTTAGAGCTGGTTCACAACTCGTCCTTCTGTCGGAGGCAGAAAGAGACGGCTGGACACAGATGCTGCGTTAAGGAGCCTCGTCCTGAGAGTCTGCATCCCTTTTCTACACTCAGAGAGTGCTGCTACCTTCTTTAAATGTCCTGTTCAACGTTTAGGAGGATTTTCTATAAGAGCAGAAAAGGTCAGATAATAGTCCAGACTGTGTCAAAGTCTGCATGTTCCCTCACATCCACACTGATGTTCAGTGAACCTCTGGAACATAATTCCTGCCTAATCAAGCCTAAAATGGCAGAAATGAACAGGAAACAAAGCGTGGAATCTAAAGAACGACTCACGTCCTGCTGGCTGCCGCCGCCATGCCTCTCTCCGGCCACGTAGGCCGACTCCTCCTCTGGAGCCGCCCCTAACCTGTACCCGCCTCCAACAAAGGCCTGGGAGAGGAGGGACATCATCAGTTTTAAGACATTTAACTCATTGGCTGCCAAAGACGTCTATAGACGTCAATTCAAATCCAACCGTTGACTGCCAAAGACGTCTATAGACGTCTTTTATGTTTTTCATCAAGAGTGGCTGGGGGACGATCTGCTAAAGCTTGTCCGTAAATATCTGCTTCTAGACAGAGCATATACAGTGGGGGAAATAAGTATTTGACCCCTTGCTAATTTAGCAGGTTTGCCCACTTACAAAGAATGCTTATTTTTCCTCATCAGATGGTTATTAATTTTTATAAATTCATATGATGTGATTTTCTGGAATTTTCTTTGGGATTCTGTCTTTCACTGTTAGAATGTACATATGATTAAAGTTATAGATCGTTGCATTCTTTGTAAGTGGGCAAACCTGCAAAATCAGCAAGGGGTCAAATACTTATTTCCCCCACTGTACTAACAAATTGACCCTCTAGGGGGCAGTGCCACTTTTGATGGGAGATGAGCATAGACTGTAGGCAAATAAGAAAAAGCTAACGGTTCGCTATGAGAGAACATGTCGCCGGTGAGACGCAAGTCCAGGAAGAACGGAATAAGGTAGAAACACATTTTTTTTCCTGATGAAAG